CTTCCGGCATTTTTCTTTTTGCCAATGTGGTGCTGAGGAATCAAACCCAGGGTCTCAGGCATGCAAGGCAAGTGCTCTACCACTGAGCCACCTTCCCAGACCTATTTCATTTTTTTTAAGACTGAATAGACCAGACAGTATTCCTCCAGACTGATTTCAAACTGGTTCATGGGTTATTTTTTTTCCTGGAATTTAGATTTAAATGGAATCACTAGCTTTTCCTGAATCTTGATTCTGCCAACTTTTTGGGTACAACTACATGGTATCTCCAGCTTGCTGACTGAAGTCAGCTATTTTGAAACTCATCAGCCATTATATTTGTGTGAGCCAAATGTTATAGTAAACCTCTACAAATATGTATTACATTAGATTTATATGTAATGTCTATATTGAACAAGCACATTTTAGTCATCATGCCTTAATATAATCACTATTTACATTGTATTTTGAATGTATTTATTAGTTATTACAAATTATCTAGAGATTATGTGAGTGTATGTATGTATGTTACATGCAAATACTATGCCATTTAAATGATGTTTGAAATGCATAATTTTTTTATCTGAAAGGGCTATGGATACCAAGGCATGACTTTGTGCGTGTGAGTGTGTGTGCATGTGTCTGTGTCTGTGTCTATCTATGTCTGTATCTGTGTGTATTATTAGTTCAGTCTCTGATGGCAATACTAATACAGGCTTGTATCTTAAAACTCTTGTGTAATTGGATGCAATTGATGCCTTTCAGGTAGTAAATATATGAATCCAAAATTTTGTTTTACACCCATTTTTCTCTTGTTTGGTCTGGGATTAAAAACCAAGGAAGTTGCACTTGTTAGGCAAGCACTTTGCCACTGAACTATATCCCAGAACATTTTCCACATTTTCAATTTAGTGTTTAAGGCTGGGAAGGTGACTCAATGGTAGAGTGCTTGCCTTGCATGCATGAGACCCTGGATTTGATTCCTCAGCACCACAAAACAGAAAAAACCGGAAGTGGAACTGGGGCTCAAGTGGTAGAGAGCTAGCCTTGAGATGAAGAGCTCAGGGACAGCACCCAGGCCCAGAGTTCAGACTCAGAAACAAAAAACAAAAATAAAAAAAGAATAAATAAATAATAAATTCAGTGTTTAATTAAAATAAGACTATGCCTAATCACACTTCTGTCACTTTTTTTCAATCTGTCTGTAAGAATTCTCTAATCCTCTAAGACCAAATAAGCTTTATGCACAACTGCTTATATTTTTATTTTTTGATGTTCCTGGAATTTGAACTCAGATCCTGGGCACTGTCCATAATCCTCTTTGTACTCAAGCATACCCCCTACCACTTGAGCCACAGTGTCACTCTGGCTTTTTCTGAGTAGTTTATTAGAAGTAAGAGTCTCAACAACTTTTCTGTCCTGGCTGGCTTCCAACTGTGATCCTCAGATCTCAGCCTGTGTATCTAGGATTACAGGCATTCAGCCACCAACACCCAGATTCAAATTTTAATTTGATGAAAATTTTAAAATAAATATTGACATTAATGCAAAAGAATGGTTTTTGGAAAGCTATAATTAAGCCATGTGCTCACAAGTACCAAATATCATATGTACCATGAATCAATATGTAGCAAGTCACATTTATTTATTCTACGTTAATCTGAACTTATTTGATGAGGTCCTAGCATATTAAGGAGGCAATCTGCTTTTTCTCATGTACTTTTTTTTTTTTTGTCAGTCATGGTGCTTGAACTCTGTGCCTGAGCGCTGTCCCTCACCTCTTCCGCTCAAGGCAAGCGCTCTACCACTTGAGCTACAGCGCCACTTCCGGTCTTCTAGTGGTTTATTGAAGACAAGTGTCTCAGACTTTCCTACCCTGGCTAGCTCTGAACTGTGATCCTCAGATTTCAGCCTCCTAAGGAGCTAGGATTACAGGTCTGAGCCACTGGTGACTGGCTTCTCATGTAATTGTAAAAAGTTATTATTCCTTTAGTTAAAGGAATTATATTTTATTTTTTATTTTTTTATTGTAAAGATACTATACAGAGGGTTACAGTTACATGAGTAAAGTAATAAGTACACTTCCTATTGAGCACTGTTACCCCCTCCATTGTTTTCCCCCTACTATCCCTTCTCTCCCTACCTTCTCCGAGGTTCTTTTTTTTTAAATTGTGATTAAGTGATTACATAATTTCCCAAATTTCACAGTATTGTGGAATAATGATGCTCACTTAAAGGCACAAGTTCATTCTAACTTTCCTGGAGCAAAGTGTCTATCATGGTCTATAACATATAACGGTGTACAGCAGCATGGGGATATTTAGTAGTGGTTTGACCAGATGAGTGGAAGTTCAGTTTCCTAAGTCCTGTTAATTTTGTCGTATCACCTAATATTTTGGATTTAACATCCATTTATCAGGGAGACCATGCACCGTTTGTCTCTTTGCTCTTGGCTTACCTCGCTCAACATGATTTCTTCTAGCTCCATCCATTTCCCTGCAAATGCCATTATTTTATCATTTCTAATGGCTGCATAGTATTCCATTGTGTATAGATACCACAATTTTTGGATCCATTCATATGTGGTGGCACATCTGGGTTGTTTCCATATCCTAGCTATTGTGAACAGTGCTGCAATAAACATGGAGGTGCACGTGTCCTTGTATATTGGTTCCTGTTGTTCAGGATAGATGCCTAGAAGTGGTATGACTGGGTCGTAAGGGAGGTCACTCTTTAGCTTTCTAAGTGGTTGTATAAGTGTACATTCCCACCAGCAGTGTAATAGGGTTCCTCTTTCTCCACATCCCCTCCAGCATTTGTCGTTGGCTGATTTGTGGATGTGGGA